AACCTATTGTGTCTATATAAAGGTACAAGCCCTGTGTGTCCGATGAACCGATGTATATCAGATGTTCATTTAAATATATAAAATAGACATCTAAAGTGTACCCATTGGTAGCCGAGAGGTTTCGTCGATGTGTTGATGTCAGTCACACATAACAGATTTCAAGGGAGGGTTCGATTCCCAGTGAAGGCATATAAAAATTACAAAAATTAAAGGTAAGTTTTTAAATTAATTCCATTAGTGAACAGAAATCAGTAAATTAGCCAATTCAAACTTAATGAAATTAGGCACACAAAGGAAACAATTAAATATAATTAGGTGAGTCAATTTCAGCGGCAGATTTAGGAAGCGTTGATTCCAAAAAAAGAATCCACGGTAAATGAATAGGCTGACGTCACCACAATGGTTTAATGTCGGATCTGCTGGAGGAGGCGTGGTTTTCGTTGTCATAGTTAATAACGTGGTTGTTTGTTTACGCAAAAGGAAGGATACTTCCGGGTAAATCCTGTTCTGTTCAGTCATTTTTTTTTCGGGCTAACATTTCTGCATGACGAAAAGTACTTCTTCTACTTTATCTCAAAATACATGTCTAAGGTAACATGTAAATCGCCTCACAAGGATAGGCAAACTATGTCTTCGTGTATCAAACTAGATATACATAAAGTTAAAAATTCGCATGCTCAGTTCAGATGTCTTTTGTTTTTATGTCGTCGGTTTTACTGCTTCCTTTATTCACATTGATTAAGCTTTCTTTGTTAATTTTAGAGTTATCTGTAATCGTAAGTTTAAACTTAAACAAACTAGCAATATACATTATTTCAATTGGTTAAACACGTTGTATTTGGTCTTCCATGGTTGTTGGATCGAACATTCAATTTGTATAGATATTAATTGAGGAATTATAAATCATGTTTTAATCCATCAATGACATTGTAGTATATTCTAAAACCTTTCTTTTCTTTAGGGAAGACAAATAAGAAACAAGAACCCACACGTGACAGAAGATGACAGAAGATGACAGCTTGCCATTCAAATTATGATATTAGAAATTCGGACTTAACTTGGATGGAGAGTTGTCTCATTGGCACTCATACCACATCCTCTTATATCTATTAACGAACTTTTATTTAAAATCAGTCACTCTTTTGATGATACCTTTTACAGGGGCTAAAAGAAATAAAAACTACGGAGGAGTTGTTACAGTACATCCTTTAATGTCCAATTGACCAAATAAATTGAAACGCATTCAAGCATATAAAATGTCAGTCAATAAATCTTAGAAGTAAAAAGAACAACAAAAATAAATAAATACACATAACACTTCATGCGTCTTGAGTATGTACTAATGAGTGTACACCTTGTTGCTATCTTGATTGTTGATGTTAGCTTCATTTTTCTATAAAAAGTACAATACTTATTCTCTTTTACTTTCTGTGTATTCATTATCGAAATTTACACCAGAAAAACTACCACGGACATGAAATGTCAGTTATTCAACACCAGTCTGTTAATTTGATTTCTTTAACAAAGAAGAGAGTAATGCGAATATTTCAATATATACTGGTAGACTCTGTGAAGATTACTTCACATGCTCTGATTTTAATCAACTTATGAATTCATTAACGCTATTGCTTGATACCGCAGTAAATATACCATTTTGTCTGTTCTATTTTTGTCACTGCCATAAGCAAAATATGTAAGAATGTAAATAATATCTGTGAAATCTGCAATGACCATCGACAATAATTATGTTATGGTAGATACAAATTTTTATGATGTATATCACTACTGACTTCGTACTGTTTCACGTAAATTTATGTAGTTCTATGTCTAGAGTGTTCTTGTGTTTATTTGTACTGTATTCATGTCATGTAATATTGTCATTTTAGCGATATTGTTAAAATTTCGATATAGCGGGAGGTTTGGCTAGCCATTAAACCAAGTACAACCCACCATGTTTTTTCTAATAATGTTCTCTTCTAAGTTAAGAATATGGCAGATGTTATCAAATAGTCCGTTTCTATGGACAATTATGTTAGCGTTTATTTTTGTAGCACTTCAGTGTTTCTTTTGTTCCGTTGTTTTCCTTTTGCAGTTGATAGGTTTCCCTATGTTTTGGTTTTTGACCCTGATTTGTTTTCCTTTAATCAATTTATGATAATCGAACATCGGTATACTACTGCTGCATTTATTTACTGTTGATAGGCAACAATTGACCAGCGAGACTAACTTTTAGTGATGATTTAGATACAATCGATGTGTACAAACTCAAGTTTAAATAGATTGTGTGCATGATGCATATTGTATATAGTTAACAGTTAATTGCAGTGTCATTTTCATTCATGTACAGATTTAGTTTCGTTTTATTATGAATAATTGAAAATTTATGTTGCAATACTAGAAGTATTGATCATTGGTCGATTAATCATTTGTTCAGAACAAAACAATATTGGGAGTTTCTTTTGCCATTACTACAGTGGGAGTTATACAAATCTGAAACACAACGTTTCAAAGAGAAAGTGGACACAAATGATATATTGCAGTCTTATTAAACTAGTTGACTCCCTATAAGTGTATTCATGTAAAAAACATTATTTTTAATCGTGTTTATTTTGACTTCTTAATATTAGTTTTATGAAGAATGAAAAACTGAGTAAACACATTACAGTAGACTTTTTAGAAGCACGAATAATCTTCAAATTCATTTAGTTACGATACTAATTTCATTTTAGATGGGTATTGGAGTTCTGTGGGCAAGTTTTTATCTGAAATTCTATACATTTCTTCTATTCTGTTTTAATACCCTTTGGAAGACACCTGACAGACTTAGTGAGCGTAAAATCACTGTTATCGATAGCCAATGACAAACAAGTTACTGGTAAATGATTCAGTAGTATTACCAACATAAGTATTGCGGTTGTCCACGCTGTTATGAAAATGGTTCTAAATTCGTTATACAGTGTACTAGTCAACTACTACGATATATATTGGGTCAGTTAATTGCATATGGCGATTTGAGCTTAGCTCTCAACCCATATGGAATTTATTGACCCCATATATATCGGATTTAATCACTATCACACTATGTAACTAATAATGTCACTCACTTAGTTAAACGAGCAGTAAAATAGATATATTTTGGCGGCAGTTGTTTGCTTATCATTTAACAATCATATTGTCTAAAACTGTACAGAAACTATTGCAAATGAGTTTAACAGTCTTAAAATTCCTCATCATTTGAAGATAATTAAGAATATAAAATATAATTTGAACCATTTCAGAAACACATAATTATTTTCCAAAATAAACCTGGTTTTGTGCAGTTATCCGATAACAGATTTAAGGTTCAAATTATAGGTTTTAAAAAACATAGCATGTGCGACTCTGACGAGGTATTGTATTGAACTGATTACCCAAATCGTTTTACCTCGTTCAAAAAAAACACGTGTAAAGAGACCTTAATTCGTTTGCCCAGTCTTTAGTTTTCCTTGATTGTGTTTTGTGTACCGGGTGTGTCGTTGTTTGTTGTTTTTTGCCATGACATTATTGTCAATTCGTTTTCTGCCATGACATTGTCAATTGGTTTTCGACGCATTCTTTTGAAAATTCGTTTGAATATTCGTTTGTTATCTGTATATCCTTTTCAACCATATTCTTAGATTTGAAGATGTACAATGTAATTTGTTAGTGTATTTTTATTGATATTTCTTTTTCTTAGAAATAAGCCAGAATATTTTTGAAATGCATTTTTATTTATTAATCACCTCCTGAATTCCTTATTACATTTCATTCGGTTAATCAAGAATATGTTAGTTGCTAGTAATGAGGGTCTTATGTTGATATAATAATCGTGTATTCAATGACAATGTGAACTTTTAATTTGTTTGGTAAATATATAACAGTTATGATATAAGGCCTCATCTTCTCTTTGTGCCTTAGTCAAATTAAAAAATAAAATGGTTGTATCTGGCATTTATATATCTCAGTTGATTCGATGTTCCATATGTTGCATTTCCAATCATGGTTTTACATATAGGGGCGGAACTCCTTACTATATCGTAGCATCTATAATCACTCCTGAATTTTCTATGGTATTTGTGATGTTTTTCAATGTCATGTATGCTTTGTTTTTGTGTTTCTGCAAAGTACCAACAGACTCAAACTAATGGGACTCTGTAAAACATAACTATGATTTCATCACTAGCTGACAATGTTTTAGAACAAAAAAACACAAACATGGCTGTCAGTCTCTATGGAGAATTTTATATTCATTATCATACATTATTTGGTTATTTTTCTGAACCTCTATCCAGAAGTCTGTAGACTAGAGCAACATTATTTTCCAGAACCATATGAGAAATTTTTACTGCTACTTACTGCAGCATTAGAGAGAGTCGACAGATATCAAACTCAAACGTGAGATATTCCATGGAGAGAAAAAGAGTTATCAAAGATGAAAAATTATAAAAAAAGTACACTCTTTCAAATTAAAACCACTTTTCCTAGTAATTACTGTGAAAATATCAACTTTCGGTGCGCTTCATTTAAATCACTACTGTGAATGTAGCATTATTTCAACATGTTTGAGCAGAGTTTAATTATTAAAACACGTATGGTTTTTGCACTTAGAATCATCGAACATAACAATCATGAAGTAGTGGCTATTCCAGATAATGTTCTTCCTAATTCAAAGAAAAAAGGAAACCCGTGAAATTCCTTAATGTAGCCTCTGCACTAGTTCTAATCAAATTTGCCCCATTTCCATTCTGGAATGCTTCCATATAGTTGTTTATCTATTTATTAAATATGGTATCAACCATTCATTACAAAACTATAAAAACCTCTATCTAAATGCTTAGCGTATACACGATCGGCATCGGCTTAACATGTTAACTGTTTTCAAGGTTTTCTCTAGCTTTTGAAATTGCAGTATTTATTAAATGATATTTTTTCATCATAATATGATTATGTGAAACAAATACCACCAATGAAAACTCTTCTAAATGCATTCATTTTTTATTTAAGCAAAAACTTATGTTGTAGATAACAAATCATAGGCATCAGAATTATTCAAAATAGAATAAATATTTGATAAGAGTGTACAATATTAAAGAAAACACAAAAAGTGACATAACAGCAACATTCAATGTCATTATCTATCAACTTGATGAAGCACGTAAAGTTGCTGTTTAAGATATGTCACATGGAAGCTATCAAAGAACAAATAGAAGTTTTTCCAATGGCCTAATCAAACGTGGATGCGGATATAACTCGGCAGTCTCTTGGAAAACTTGTTTGGCTGATTTATTGTCACCTATTATCTGTAAAGCAGTACCAAGACAATAGTAAGCTGTGGATTTAAGAGTGACATCCTGTCCTATGAATTTATCTTCGGTTATTGTCCACCGAAGATCTCGGAGTGAATTTCGACATTCTCGTACATTGTTCAGATGGTAATGACATAGGAAAGACAAAAAATGTGCGTAAACTACAGGTGCTACTTCAAAATGAGATTCGTCTGTTGACAGTTCCATAGGTATAAATGTATTAATTGAAAAAATGACGTTATGTACTAGTACAGATTTCAACGAATGCACCACTCCTTGCTTTTGTTCTAAGTGCAATTTGACTTGAAGACGTTGCATGACCGACAATTCTTTTTCACGGAATAGTTTTTCATGTGTACACTTCGATAATGTATATGAAATGATCATAAGAGATTTCGTATATTGATTTTGCATGTAGAAAAACGAAACAATCATCAACCACCCAGAGACTGTATCATGGTTGATGTTCATCAGTAAATAACCCAGAGAAGTATGGTATTGTTTATATTTATTCTTATTACTGATTACACTGCTAATGTACATTGACTGACATTTATTCCTGCACACTAATGACATGAAATATGCATGAATGAATTTCAATGTTTTGGAGGTACAAGATATTACATTATAAACTAATCTACTGACATCATTGTGTTCAACTCCTAACGCTGAAACACGGAAAAATATTTTTGACTTTAAAAATTTGTTAATGTCTTCATAATAAAAGTAACCTTGATTGCTTTGAACGTTGCACGACAAAACCGAAACATTTGATATTTGTTCAGAAAATAAAATGCATCGCCATACATAACTAAAAAGCACACGAAGTTTATCTATTAGATTATCCCTATCAAATCCTTCTATTTTTTTCTCAAACATGTTATTTTCTGGAATAAAATAATGGGGACAAACTTGATACTGTACACAATAAATCAGTCGACGGAAACATCTCATAAAACAAGGTATCAAATAGTCAGGTGTCCATACAGAAGGTTTTAATTCTTCAGATAACCAGAAAATTATTGTCTTCAGGTAATAGGAACACAATAAATCTTTAAATCTACTGTCAGTATTTATTACATCCTTTAAAAGAATTTTCATGAGCGCGTAACATAGTAATTGCGTATAACTAAACGTATAAACAAGAAATCTTTCTCCAACTTAAAAGGAAATTCACCATTCCAAATCCTCATACGGTGATCCTTTATCGCCAATCGGTACAAACAACACCCCATGGTTGATGATCATCTGCTTTATATTTTCATTTGGCCATGAATTATTTGATCTGGTATTCCATCGTGATGCAGGCTGGATCCAAGATTTACTATGAAGACAAATAGCTATGTCAACATGACCATTTATGTCGGATATACAAGGTCCATGTACAAGTTGAGCGGACTCGCTTAAAAATATTGTTTTGAATAAGACATTTGACAGATAAGAATCCCTTCTAAAATGTTCGCAAATTTTTAGTATACCAGAATAAGGACTACTTACAAGACGTAACATTACAAAACCTGGTTTTGTATCATCTGTCATCAGTGACAAATACGGTTTTGTAGGATTGAAAACAGAAGATGTTGTATTATCGTGAACCTCGATGAATTGTAATACCCACATCATATCTAGATCACTACCAAGCATCTGCAATCCTTCACCAAAACTACCACTGGTAATATCCACTCTTGTTTTATCCCTGGATACATTATCACAAACTGCATTCATTAATCGTATGGTTTTCACGTGCTTATCTGATCCGCCAATGTTTTTGCACATATAATGGTAAAGGGATAATGACACATCTGAAACAAGAAATGTTCAATATTATTAAGTTTTACCATGAAAAGGAATATCAATGTGAAACATAAACTATACTGAAGTAAAGCCGAAATCGTATGTACTGTCTGCAAACGAATTATATATATTGTTACTCTAAGAACCTCAACCAGATCATCAAACTACATTCACTGAACACCAGGTTCATAGCTCTTGTATTTACTAACCTTTAGTTTCTCTTTAGTACATACATGTATGCTATCGGAAATGGTTTTTTTTTTTACAATTTTTGACATTTTCGTTTCTCTTTCTATGAATAGCGTCATAACCAATAATTTTTGCCAATCGACACGTGAAAGTTGAAAGGTTTTTTTATTATATTTGTATACAAAATGAAATAACAAATGACAAAGCATTAATATTTTCCACTTCACGAGTCATCGTTATATTATTTATCGTTAATACTACATTTGAAATGCAAATTTGCTGGCATCGACCAGTAGATCAATAAATGATAAATAATTACAATAGAAAAACGTTTACCTTGCCTTCCCATTGTTTTGGTGCAATTTTAGTCTCCGAATAAAAGCAGAAAAATGTCCATTGAAATAAATATTCATACTACACAATGTATTTTAGTTGAAAACAATTAATTAAATTAATAAATTATCTTCAGTCTGTTGCATGCCATTTAAAATTAAATGACATGTAACGGTAAATACAAAGGATTGATTCGATGTATGTCAAATTGTTAAAGTATAGAAATTATAATTGTATAAATATATGTTGTCAAAGGTTAAATAATGTATAAACAATATACAGATTAACTGCTATAAAACGTATAGCAGAAACATGTAGGGACTAATAAAGTTAATCCCAGTTTACACTCAACGTGTAATGATGCTCAACATTATATTTGTTATAAGAACTAGTAAAATTGTAAGTAACTATGCTGGTCTCTTTTGAATAAGAACTTACAGTATATTTTCAATGGAAGTAACATATTGTATCTATTTGATAAACTCATCATAGATACCAGGATTGCAATTTTGTATTTGCGCCAGACGCGCGTTTCGTCCACATAAGACTCATCAGTGATGCTCGAATAAAAAACTTAATTAAACAGGCAAAAAAAAAAAAAAAAAAAAATACGGAGCTAAAACACACTCAGGATCAAAAATTCCTAAAGGTTTTGCCAAATACAGTTAATGTAATCTATATCTGATGTAGGAAAGCCTTAGACTTATATTAATGCGTATATGTGTTGGTGATAACATTGAAAAATTAACATGATTTAGGTTTAGTTTGTGTGACTGAAAATCATGCGACTACAAATCGAAAAGTATATTTTCATTAATAAGCTTTATTCCCAATCAACAAATAAAAAAAAAGATAGGGTAATTAATGTTAGTTGTTAAAAATATTAATACAACAATATTGATCATTAGTGTATTCGTTTTCACGGTTCATCATTGTTTTATTCTGGAGGATGAAACCGAAACTACTAATATGCTTTTATTGAAAAATGTTATCTGTAAGAATATCAAATAAATAATACATAATATTTTTTTTTTAAATGTTTACCTTTATCTTCCATTATGTCTAGATCTCTTGTCTAATAAAACACAGCTTCAAACTGTCCTTCTAAATAAACATGAAATATACACACGGCTGATGCATGCACATCAATTAATAAAACTACTTAACATAATATCAATCGATTGAATTGCATTTAAATGTTAATTGTCTGAACAGGTAAATAAATGATCATTATTAGTATAGCGTAGAATATATTTGTATGACAAACAGGGCGAAATTTTACTAATATTATTTTTATTCTATAGTTTTGTTTAAATAGTAAAATTGAGAATGGAAATGGGGAATGTGTCAAAGAGACAACAACAAAGAGCAGGAAATAGCAGAAGGCCACCAATGGGTCTTGAATACAGCAAAAGAATCCCGCACCCGGAGGCGTACTTCAGCTGGCCCATTAAAAAATATGTTCTACTTCAGTAACAATGGACTTCATACTAAACTAAATAAATAAAAGAAACTAAAATTAAAAATCATACAAGACTAGCAAAGACCAGATGTTCCTGACTTGGGACAGGCGCAAATAAGCGGCGTAGTAAAACATGTTTTTTGAGATCTCAACCAAGAAAACACAAAGCACAGTTAAACTCAGTTTAAAAGAAGTCTGAAGCCGATGTCAGAGTAGGTAACAAAAGAAACTAAACAAAATAAAAATTTTAAATACATTAACAAAGAAATAATAGCAGTTACTGACATGCCAGCTCCAGACCTCAATTAAACTGATTGAAAGATTATGTCTTCATCATATGAATATCATACACAATCCCTCCCGTTAGGTGTTTAGTATCATACCATCATAAAATATATGAGAGGAACATAACCCGTATCCCGCCAACAACTGGTTTTAGTATAAATGTGTTTATTGCAAAGACCCTATGAATGAATCAATATTAAAGCCAAAATATGCAATCTTTAATGACCTGACAACAGTATCGTAACTATATATTTTCATAATAAGTTGGTTTACAGGTTTTGATAGCTTTTGAGGGGAATGCCGACATTTTTGTGCTTTGAAAAGAATACTGCCATAAAAGATTCGATGTGAGATACATGAACGTATAAGATGTTTGTATGTTGGTTTATGTTTACGAATGATGTCCTTGTACCGATGAAAAAAGTTGTAAATGTTTTGACTAGTTTGTGATATCGAAAACACTGGTGTAATAATTTTTCAGTAACACAAAGATTTCTTTCGTATTTTCTTAGGTATTTTTAAACAATTCATCTATGATCATCGATCTAAAATTAAAAAAAAAAAATAAGAGATTCTCCGATTAAGGGTGTTATTTTACTTTGAAATCTTTAATTTTGATGTTACATTGTACAATAATGACATTCTACGTTGCAAATAATTAAACAGTGGTGAAATTCACGAAATTAATGCAGAGCAAGTACTTTTATTCAATATTAGTCGATAAATGTAGGGTTGTACTATGTTTCAATGAAATTCTACAAGCAGAATATGGTTTCTAGAAATGAGTATAAATATATTCGTGTAAACTGTTTTGAATCCACGAGCTGCCAAACACACGGATGCGTTTAAGTGATGCAGAGTCAGTGTAAAATAGTTCAAAGAAAAACTATATCAGGCTGATCAACATCGACACCTTGTGCTTTTTTTTGCATAGGTGATCTGCCTCTATTACATTCATATCGTGTCGAAAATTTGTTTTTGAAATATGAATATTGTTCACGTCTTATTTCACCTGATAATTGAGTCATTAATAAAAAAAAATAAAATAAAAGCAAAAATTACAAAACATATATAAATTAAATGAAACAACATTCATTCCGATGAATAAACATTAACAATAGAACAAGCCCTAAAATTGGTAGTGAGTGAAATGTGAACAAATGTATAGATAGATACACATTGTCTTAAAAATCCGATTCTATTTCCGATGGGATGTCGTATTTGGCGTCACATCCTGGCCAAACTACTGAATTTGCTGAAGGAGCCCGGATAAGAAAGGCCTGTGTTCTACGTACGCGAGTATTACTAGAGTTAAGTTCCTCGTTTGGGCTACCATAACTAACAGTTACCTTGTCGCGTATTACGAGTTTATGTTTGCTAGGGAAAATCGCGATGTCGTTCGATGACATGAAAGGGATACCGGCGAGTATATCCACTTCCAAGTCGTTCACTTCTAAGGCCTCTAACTGTAACTCGATTCCGTCTCGAGAAAGTGTGAAATGGCATTCACCAACTATATTTAACGGGGTAACACCGTCAGCTTGTAGAGCAGAATGGTTGCTTTTCTTGATTGTTACGCCGATGTAATCCGCGGAAGAAGCTTTTATCATACTCACCTCAGCACCCGTATCTAGTGTTAGCTCAAGCGGGAAATGTTTATAAAGTGCCTTAAAGTAAGGAGGCTGTTTAGTGCTCACCCGTCTTAAAGCAGATACAACTCTAAGCTTACTAGGACCTACATTATCATTTAAAAATGAGACTTGTTCATTAACAACATTTTCCTCAGACTCACTATCAACTACTTCTGTACAATAAGATTGCCTAACTCTGGATATATATTGTTTGTCTTCATCAGGTGAATATTTACCAAAACTTAAAAAATGTTGGGATGGACGACCTGCTTGCTTCATAAAACACAACACTTTATTTGACGACCACTTCTTATACTACATTGTACCTTTCTTCTTTGCACTTCTGTCAAAATGTTTGTCTTTTATTGACGCCCGTAAAACCTTGGCATCAGTTGCTGAATGAAATTCGTCAAGTAAACTATCAATTGCCTGTAAAATTTCAGGCTTCAAAGAAGCTAATGTTTTTGACCGTAATTCAGTTCCATATCGGTGCTTCACTAGTTTGGGCAAGTCACGATTAATAAGTCTTAACCAAGTAAGTACAATCAGGTTTTCCAAAGAAGGCGATAGTTCTTCGTCGGCGTCAGGTACTCCGCGGTGATGAATATTAACACCGGCACGAAGCAAATTGTCTTCAATAAAACTAGCCAATCGTTGAAATAGGTCCTCAGGATGCTCATTTGGTTCCAAAAAGATGCTATTTAAATCAAGAAAGTGTCCACCAGTAGACTGAAATCCGTAGTGCAGACGAATTGACTGCCAAATAGAATTAATTGATGTCGAATTTTTAAAGTGTTCCTTAAAATAATCGGACAGTAATTTGCTATTTGCCCAAGCATAAGGTCCAAATGTGTGCACTTTTGGGTTGCTGTTCGTCGTTAGCTTCGGCAACCTCCTCGCCATCGTCAGCAATGACACGCAAAGGATTGACGTTGGTTTTCTTCTGCCATGTAAATCCATCTACAAGGAACGCTGCAAGTTTTGATCAAGGGACAAGATATATTGTAAGTTTTGTCTCCATGCTTCAAACGATGTTATTGTTTCAACTTTTGAGAGTGACCATTGTTTCGGAGCACGTGTGCCTGCCATTTTGTAAAGATCAGTTATATACAGCAATAGAAAATGTTGTCGTGTTAGTCAAAATAAATGACAAAATTTCCTTCTCACCTTTTACTTCTAGAGTGGAATAATGTTCAAATTCTTGAGTTATTTGAGATGTGGGTTTCTTAAGCCGCTGCCGCCACGCCAGTAAGCAGAGAAAACTATAACCCATGTGATCGTTAGAAAGGCACATTTAATAGAAATGGTGAGGCGGTAAACAATAAAGGGAAATAACCCAGACACATGGAGTAAGGGAGATAATACAAATCAATACATGTAACAACAATACAATACAGAGTGGTTAATTCAGACAAACATGTGAGTGAAACATTCAAAATGGAATAAAGGTAGTGCAAACGTGGCACTTTGAAAATCTACAGGAAAGGATAAAAGGGTTATGGGTACTCAGTAATCCTCACAATATTGATAATTAAAAATACCGACTTTTGACGGAAAAATAAAATATATGTTTTAAGACCCTAGGACATTATAAAGCTATTGAAAAGGAGGTTTTCAAGGATGAGGTGGTCTTTTGCTTTTCGTCTCAAAATGTTCTAAGTTCAAATAACTAATGTTCGTTTGTGATGCTCTTGTAACTGTGAATCTTAAATTTACTTCCTAAACTGAAATCGGAACGCGGACGTCAAACCCAAAAAGTTTCATTCGAAATATTGTGAAGTTATACCAACACATCGACAATATATCCTGAGGTTTTCAGCAAAATGGGTACGATTCATGTAAAACGATTGAAACAGGATGTTAAAATTGTTTCCAAAAACACATAGGTCCCACAAAAAAGATGAAAGGTTTGTATTTTTCAACCGTCTTTAAAACGGTTCCCTAAGAGCCTCGTCGAGCAGTCTTAAGAAGACCCATTGGACTTGGTTGGCATATCTTACGTGGCCGACGTTCTTAAGAGCAACCGTCAACTCATCCTGGTTGTCAGAGAAACTGTAACGTCGTACACTAGTACGTGCTTTATCAAAGACGAAAAACTAGGTAGCTTGCGAGATGGGCTTATACATTTATTGATACCTTTAAAGCATTTAAACGGTCCCGGTGTTGTCGTTCGAGTTGACCCGGCCCCTGGTCTTCGCCCTTTATTTGACGATTCCTATTTAAAGCAGCTGAACATATCAATTGAAATTAGCCGTGTCAAAAATCAGAAACAAAATTCCAGTTGCCGATAAAGTCATCGCTGAGCTTGAAAACGAGTTACTTCGTGAGGAACGCGATCATTCTCCTCTATCTGAAAATACATTAGTTATTGCTACCAACCTAATTCAAGGCTTCGCCAGCGTGGATTGTCCTCCTGTGAACTATGGACTCAAAGAAGTCAGTTTACTCATGAACAATTGCCAATTTCTGAACCTTATTCGCGCACAACACGAGGCCCGAGATAAAAATCACGGATTTAGCGAAATTTCGAAATGCAGTCGACCCGGTCGTCCGAGTCCTGACATTTCTATGGGGGATTTGGTTTACCTTTATACAGACAGGTCAAAGACCCAATCGAGAGATTGGTACCTTGTTGTAGCGCGTGATGGCGAATGGTGTTTCATCAAAAAATGTTCAGGCAATCAACTCCGCGCCTCGTCCTACAAACTAAAACTTTCGGAATGTTATAAAGTTTTAAAAACTATAAGTGTCCACCGTAATCCAAGATATTCTCATAACGTATACAATCAGGAGTCTGATTGTGATGACCATGAAGAAGATAGCCTTCCTGGGCCTATCCGTGACCTACCACCAGCTCTCGCGGAGCCCCCGGCAATTCTTATTTGCGAAAATCAGGACGAGCCGACTGGGCAACCTGATAATAGTCTCGAACGTGACTTGACACATAGTGTAAGCCAAGCAATGAACAAGATAATAAACGCGTTCTCAGAAAGCGCTCCGAATTAAAAAACACCAGAGCGGTTTAAAGGTTTCATTGCCTTTTAAATTTAATGCTCACTCGTCTTTAGGTTGTTAACTTAGAGATACGTCATATTTCTTTCTATATTTCATTTACTGCTCATTTTATGTTTATTATAATGTATATGCACAGTATTTTTTGTTTAACTACTACACAATATATATATATATATAAATTCATTTGATTGCATTCGATGAAGATATAGAATAGACTTTAAAGGAGAAAAGAAATGTCAGAATCATTTTGTTTCTTATTGATAGTTATGTGTTTAGTTAATGCATATTGATCACATTTATTTTCATTCATGTTCTTAATATAACAGAGATTATTAGTTAACAATTGTGAGCATACAACATATATATATTATATATATATATAGAGAGAGAGACTTTAAAGGAGAAAAGAAGTTGCACCAGTGTACTGTATTGATTGTTACATGTATTGATTTGTATTATCTCTCTTACACCATGTGTCTTATACATG